ATTAAGACTGATGTGCCCCTTTCTATGAAGCCTCCCTCATTTGCTTCAGTTCCCCTTTAAAAGGTCTGCATATGGGTAGGACAGAGAAAGGAGAGAGCTGTTCTGAGATGTCTTGCATGCCTCTTCTCCCCACTGCTCCACTGCTGCCAAACTATGCCTTGTGTGAACTGTATTGTGTAACCACTTACCCTTTAATCAGCTCGCATATCGACCTCCCCCCCCCTCCAAAATTAGTTTGTTGTTGCTTGATGCTTGTTTATTATTGTTATGCTGTTTTATGCTATTTTACATTGTAATTTGTTATTGTCCTGCTTTTAATTGTATGTTGCCTGGGCTTGGCCCCATGTAAGCCTCCCCTAGTTCCCTCGGGGAGATGGAGATGGGGTAGAATAATAAAGTCCTCCTCCTCCTCCTCATCCTCATCCTCGTCCTCGTCCTCGTCCTCGTCCTCCTCCTTCTACATCCCCTTTCAACAGTCTGACTAGTTGGTATTAGCGGTTATTCAAGGAATTATGGGTTTGTAGCCAGTATGTTTGGATTTCATGCATTTTTGGTAGGTTTTTTGTCCCTGTTCCACCCCACCCCCACCCACCCTGGGTGCAGTGGGTTTTGAGTGGCTGACTTCCATTGTGTTAATGTTAATCTCTGCCCAGTGATTTGATGTATAGGGCAGGCTCAACCAACATATGCATTTCCTGCATCAGAAAACGTGCAGCTTGCTTCCAAGTGACATCACACAGGAGTATATTTGGCTGCAGGTTGGTACAGCACAGTTTGTACTGGCGCTGAAATACAAAGATGTGTCATAATCTATACATGGCAATTTATTTGCAGATATTTCTTCCTGAAAAAAATGTTTATACGAGAGGGAAAATAATAATTGGTCACATTACTGAGGGGTCTATTTGAGCTGAACAGTCCGAGGACTATTTGTTGTTGTGTGCCTTCAAGTCAATTCTGGCTCATAGCAATCTTATCATAGGGGTTGTTCACAGTGGGTTTGCTTTTGCCATTCTTTGAGCCTGGGAAAAATGTGACTTGCCCAAAGAGATCCAGTAGATCTCCATAGCTAAGGTAGGGATTCAAATCCTTGTCTTTCATTGTTCCAGTCCAACACTCAAACTACCACATGACTCTGGCTCCCTCAGCATTATTATTCAATTTTAATGTCATGGTTCTTTCCTATTCAATCCATAGATTGGCAATTGAGGGAAGGGCATTTACAGTTCCTAGCTGGGCAGCTTCTTTGTTGTTGTTGAGTGTTTTTCTTTTCTTTCTTTCTTTCTTTCTTTCTTTTTTTGGTGTCAGGAGCAACTTGAGAAACTACAAGTTGCTTCTGGTGTAAGAGAACTGACCATCTGCAAGGACATTGCCTAGGGGACACCCGGATGTTTTGATCTTTTACCATCCTTGTGGGAGGCTTCTCTCATGCCCCTACACGGGGAGCTGGAGCTGACAGAGGGAGCTAATCCACACTCTCCCCGGATGCAAAACTCTGACCTGTCGGTCTTCAGTCCTGCTGGCACAAGGGTTTAGCCCATTGTGCCATCAGGGGCTCCAAGCTTCTTTGGTGCCTCTGACTGAACTGCAGATGCCAGATCTCCATAGAAGGCAGTTGTGGGTATCAAAGTGGAATAACAGAACTGTAATAATATTCCTGTATCTGCAAGTGCTGTGCTTACCTGATGTGACAAAGCATAGGATATGGGGCAATAATTGGGTGTAACTGGGAAGGGTTCTATGGCTTCATACATCATGCATATGTGCAAAATATCTTCAAGCTGGTGGCTTCAACATATTTGGGGGTATAATTCCCACAACCTCCCAGCTTGCATGGCCAATGGTAAGGAGTGAAGAGGACTGTAAGTCTGTGAATGTGGGAGGCTAGTCCCTGGAGTTTGGTCTATCATGTCCAGTGAATCAATTTCATGTCCATACCTCACGTTCAATGTATGGAAAATGAGATTGCTTATGGCTCCTGGATGCATTAGTACTGTCTTTGTCTTCCCTTTTTTTCAACCAAAAAATAAAACAGAGACATACTTTACCTGCCTCAAAGATGACAGTGTATGAGCACGTTTCGCATGTAAAGTGGATTAAAGCAAGGAGTTCATGATTTGGTTTGCAGGAATCGGGGTCCTTGGCTCTTGTAGTGGTTCTCTAACTTGTCTTCCATACTTCCATCTCAGGAGATGAGCAATGCAATTTGCACAGAGGTTTTACATCCACAACGGGTGAAAGTGTGTATGATGCAGCCAGGTGTATGTGCCAAACATCTCTAAACCGGTGGGTTCCATATATGCATTTTGGACGGGAATTCCCACAACTTCCTAGGCTAAGAGATCAGGGGCCTTTGGCTCTTGCAAACATTTCCTAAATCATCTGTAATATCAAAAGACACTAACTGCTGTGATACTATTATCAAACCTTTTGCTCATAATCTTTGTGATCCCCGGACCTCTGAATGCATTGGGTGATGTAGAAGTCTTCTAGGCAATTCACATGGATTGGTTTTTCTTGCGTGCTTGTAAGCAATTCCAGCCTGAAAGGTCTGCCAGAATGATGTGTTATATATACAAGAAAGATGTGCACATGATGCCACCAGGCATATGTAGGTGCCAAACATCTCCAATGTGGCAGCTTCCACTTATTTTGGAGCAGAACACAGCACTTGCATTATGGCATGCGACTGGTCTATAATTTCCAGATAGGGAAGGGATATCTCTGCGTGGAGTGAAAGGCTCTCATGACCTTCTACGTCATGCCTGTGTGCCAAACAACTGCAAGTTGGAGGATTCCATAAACAGGCAGTCCCCAAGTTAGGAACAAGATAGGTTCCGTAGGTTTGTTCTTAAGCTGAATTTGTATGTAAGTTAGAAGAGGTACATTTTAAAGAGTAACTCCATATATATATAGGCCCCCTGGTGGCACAGTAGGTTAAACCGCTGAGCTGCTGAACTTGCTAACTGAAATGTTGGTGGTTCGAATCTGGGAAGTGGGATGAGTTCCCACTGTTAGCCCCAGCTTGTGCCGACCTAGCAGTTTGAAAACATGCAAAAGTACATCAATGGGTACTGCTTCTGTGGAAAGATAACGGTGCGTCATGCAGTCATGCTGGCCACATGACCTTGGAGGCATCTACGGACAATGCTGACTCTTTGGCTTAGAAATAGGGATGAACATCAACTCCCAGAGTTGGACACAACTGGACTTAATGTCAGGGGAAACTTTTACCTTTTCTATATACATATACACACATATACATGCAAACACAAACACAGAGATGAATGTATGCCTTGGGTAGCATAGGGAAGGGTTAACACTCCTTTGGTATTTGTCTTGCTATCTGTGCTGGTGTTCAGGCAATTTTACCTCACTTTCTGTCCCTGTGAGAATTGAATTTTGAAAAAAATGGGCTTGTTATAGAAACAAGGATTGGTGCTAAAGGTACAACGAAGCCCCCTTTCCCCATGATAACTCTTGTCACACTAGAGAAAAAATCCACTTAAAATCCGGTTTCTGCCTCCTACAGAATTCTGGGGTTTGTAGTTTAGGGAGGCTGTTAAAGGCTCCTCCCTAAACTACAAACACCAGAATTCTGCAGGAGGCAGAAACCAGATTTTAAGTGGATTTTTTTCTCTAGTGTGATGAGGGCACAGTGAATTTTCCTTCCAAGGGATATTTGTAACTTGGGGACTGCTTGTATTTTGGAATAGAACTCAGTGCCCACATCATGACACAACACCACTGGTCTATCAAATAGGAAAGGGTTAGGGTTAACCCTTCTCTCCCCCCCCCCCCCGCTTTCTTTGGGGTCCCATGGCTCATCATGTATACACATGTGCTAAACATCTGCTAGCTGGTGGCTTCAAGGTGTGTTTGGAGTAGAACTCAGCGCCTGCATGGTGGCACCCCGTTGGTCTGGAAAGCAACCTAGATGGGGAAAGGATCCCTCTGTGTGGGATGTGACGGGGTCCCATGGCTTGGTATGGGCAGGGTGTGTGCCTGCCAAACACCTCCAAGCAGGTGTCTTCAATCCCTATGTTTCGGAGACACATGGGGGGTCGCAGAGCGGATGGCGAGGGACGCGGTCCCGGGGGGGGGGGAGGTGCGCGGGGGCTCCTGGCGCGCACGTGCCCGCGTGTCCGCGCTCATGGCATCGCATCGCGTGGCGGGGCGAGGGCGCTTGCTGCAGTGTCGGGGGGAGGGAGGGAGAGAGGGGAGGAGGGGAGGAAGGAGGGAGGGAGAGCCGATCCGGAGCAAGATGGCGATGCTGCCGTTGCCGCTTCTCCGCGGGTCAGCACCGGAACAGCTCCTTCCTTGCCTCGGCCGCTGACTCCCTCGCCTCGGAGCCGCTTCTGCAGCCCATCCGGGCAGCCCTTTTCCCTGCGTTGCTGCCTTCCTTCCTTCCTTCCTCGCGGGCTGGGTCTTTCTCTGCCGCACTGCCCCAGAGGCTCTTGTTTTGGTGCAAAGCTGTGGACGCATCTCTCTCTCTCTCTCTTTTCCCAATGGAAGAAGGCGCCGACTCCGGTGCAATTCCCTCCGAACCCCCGGGGTTCGTTTTTCTTCTTTTCTTTCATTGCATGTGAGAATAACACCCTTTCCCCCAGACACACACACACACAGAGACATCCCTTCCTTGGATCCTCCGGAGCCCTGGCGATTTGTGTGCCGCCCAGCTTCATCTTCCCATGGAAGAGGCGATCCGCTCCCCAATCCTACCTGAAGGAGAGGCGCCGAGAGCCTGAGATGGAGGAAGAGGAGGAGCTGCGCCGCCACTGAAGCCCCTGCTCGGCCAAGGAGATAGACAGGCAGACAGACGGACAGAAGGACAGACCGCGAGGGAGCGCGCGCGGGCCCCGGGCCCTCCTTCCATGTGGCCCCGCGGCAGGTTGGGGCGTCGCGCGCGCCTGGGCTGCCCTTCGCACGCGCCCTCCGCCGCCTCGCCCGCCTAGCAGCCCCCCCTCCCCTTCTCTCCCACCCCTCCCCCCCCCCGCTTTCTTTGGGGTCCCTCACACCTCCTCCTCCTCCCTCTCTCCTCCGCACCCCCTTCCTCACCCCCCCCCCACTCGCCTGCCTTGGCCATGGGGATGGGGGCCCACCTCCTGGCGCTTGTCATGTCGGCTTCCTTTTTCAACCCCAGCTTTGCCTTCAGTTCGCACTTCGACCCCGGTAAGTGGCTTTCTTTCTGTCGCTTTGGGGCCCATCCTTCTCCTTCCCAAACACCCAAGGTTGTTTCCCCCTTCTGCTCCTCCCTCCCTCTCTTCTGGTCTTTGGTTTGCCTTTCCTTGTTTCCCGCCTAAGCTATTCCTCCTCCCCAAAAAGAGTTTGGGTGCATCTAAACCAGTGGCTCCCAACCTTTTCTTTGACCTGGGACCACTCTCCAACATTAATACCAAAAGGGTTGCAAACCAGTTTTTGGTCAACTTTAGATTTGGTTTGGTTATTTGGGGTGCTGATTCAGAATGTTGCATTGGATAGACCACATCAGCTCTAGCTTCTGATACAGAACATATGCCATCCAGTCGTTGCCATCTGCTCGCCCACAGAAAACAATATTTAATAAGCCTTGGCAGCATTATAAGAGGGTTTCGCGAGACCAGTCACTCTCATTGCAACTGTGTTGTAATGGTGAGGCCGCAGACCATATTTTAGTTCTTACGGACCACTGGTGGTCCACAAACCACAGGTTGAGAACCACTGGTCTAAACTGTAGACTTGATGGGCTCAGTGGTAAACAATCCTAGAATGTGTCCTTTGATGAGGCACCAGCACACTTCAGCGATGAATGCAAAAGTCCTGGTAAAACTGCATCACCAAAGATGGCATAGCATTGAGCCATTGTATTAATTCTACAGTGTAGATGCAGCCTTGGGACCGGTTGGGTCTCTCTTCTTGCTGACAACCATCCGTTGCTCGCTCTTCTGCCCAAATCCTTATGACATTTACTTGATTTTTTAAAATATGCTCCAAATTATGGGACCATTGCTGGTTGCTTTCAAGCCAACCAACTGTCTCTAACACTTACACATTGTATTGGTCCATGGTTAGTGATTTTAGTATGACCCCCACGGAAGAAACACTCTCTGCAAAGTTACATCACCCTGTGCCTCCCTGCCCAGGGAGGATGTTTGTGAAAGAGGTTCTTGGGCACATGATAATGGAGATGCAGAAACAGGGTTGTTTGTGTGCACCTTTCTTTGAAGCATTGTCTAGCATGTAGATTGTTCATGGTGGTCAGTCACTTAAGTGGAAATAAGATGTGGCCAAGCAAGAGACGGTTTTGGTGGCTTGGGCTCATTCTTCCCACCTGGAAAGGTACCTGGGATTGCCAAAGGAGTGTGGCATTGTGTCGTCACAGCACATTGCTCTCGCAGTGGGCCTTCACTCTGCATTTTTTGAGAAGGTGGCATTGAGTGAGGCCAAACAACAGTGCCATTTGCCTGGTGCTGGGCCTTTCTCAGGGATGGTGTGAGTCTGAATTAAGGTTCCTTTGTGGTGGGTGAGTGACTTGGCCTTAGCTAAACCTCTGGTTTGGGGGATTGCTAGCCCTTGAGGTGGGGTAATAGATTGTAGAAAGTAGAAATGTGGTCCGTCAGGGCCCTTCCACATGGTCATATAACCCAAGGCCCTTCCACACAGCCCTATATCCCAGCATATCAAGGTGGAAAATCCCACATTATCTGAGTGTGGACTCAGATAGCCCAGTTCAAAGCAGATATTGTGTGATATGCTGTGATATAGGGCTGTGTAGAAGGGCCCCCAGAATATCAAGGCAGAAAAATCCCATATCATCTGAACTGGGTTATAGGAATCCACACTGCCATATATTCAAGTTCAAAGCAGAAAATGTGGAGTTTTATTCAGCTGTGTGGAAGGGGCCTCAGAAAGATTTCAACATTTTCTAGTATCAGGTTTCTTTGGGTCTTCTTCCCTTTCAGAAATCCTAAAAGGCAGAAACCTGACCATTGTGTTGTCTTCTCAGTTCATTCCTGGCATTATTGTACACCTTCTATCCTGCTTGTTCATGTGACTGTGAAAACGGCTTCTTGCTTTTCTGACCCCCCCCCCCCCCGGGGCATCTCTTATGCCTTGTTTATATATCTGCACTTGCTATGGAAGAGTTATGAATGAAACTTGCCCTTGTCTTTAATACCTAATGCCATTTTTGTGATGTCTAATCAGTTTTCTTGGGAGCAGGAAGCACCTGTCATGATTTGACTTGATAAAAAGGATTTGGGCTCAATTTTCCAGATTCCACTGCAGTTAAATCTAAAAGGCCCGAGGTAATACCTTAGGTCCAGTGATGGGCTGACATTTCTCAAAATGAACACAATAGTGTTCAGGAGAGAAAATATTATTTAAAAGAAACCTTTTCTTCTTGGTAAAAACATTTATTTGTTTTCCTCTGGCTGCTCTGATCCTTTCCTTTGCTCCGTTCAGTCTTCAGCAAAGGGCAGCGAAGTGGTAACTAGCTGAATTACAGTTGAGGCCTCTGAGAACTCTCAGGCATGAGGGAGTTATGGTTATGTAAGTGCCTATTTTGATGCTTTTGTATTAGATCTGTGGCTGCCCAAAGAAAGGCTTTTCCTTATTTATGTGTGTTGCTGTAGCAGGGCATGGTCTGAAATGCATTCTATCAGTCTGGCACACACAGAAGGAGAGAGGGAAGGAAATCAGCATATTTTCACTTCCATCTCCCATATATTTGTAAAAATCGCCCTTACTTTCTTTAACACAGTCCCTTTCCTAAAAACAACATAGACATTTCATGGTTATGAATGCAAAGGAATGTACACAGGATTAAAATTACCATTGTATGCCTCAAAAGCAGGCCTGGGCAAACTTCAGCCCTCCAGGTGTTTTGGAATTCAACTCTCACAATTCCTAACAGCCAGTGGGTTGAGCTAGGATCGAGAGTTATAGCCCAACATTTAAACCACAACACCACAAAAAATCTGAATGCTTGACTTAAGAAATGATAAAACTCAGAAAAGAATAGTAATAGCCATAGATATAGCAAAGAAGATCTTCATTATGAAAAAGTACAAGGAAAGATGTAGAGAAATACTAGGGAAGATAGATTAAAGCATATAATATAAAGCATGTATTATAAAGTGTGGGTTGAAGAGAAAAGGGCAACAGTTATGGAACTGTTTCACCAGTTATGCAGGTGAAACGTCAGGAGAGAATGCTTCTGGAACATGGCCATACAGCCCAAAAACTCACAACAACTCCAGTTATGAAACAGAACTCAAAGAAGTTATCCAGAATGTTTTCAATCTTTATAAAAAATACTGGGTTGCTGTGAGTTTTCCGGGCTGTACTGCCATGTTCCAGAAGCATTCTCTCCTGATGTTTCACCCACCTCTATGGCAAGCATCCTCAGAGTTTGTGAGGTTTGTTGGAAACTAGACAAGTGGGGTTTACATATCTGTGGAATGTCCAGGGTGGGAGAAAGAACTCTTATATGAGGCAAGTGTGAATGTTGCAACTGATCACCTTGATTAGCATTTAATAGCCTTGCAGCTTCAAAACTTGGCTGCCTCCTGCCTGGGGTAATCCTTTGTTGGGAGGTGATTAGCCGGTCCTGATTGTTTTTTGTCTGGAAACAATAATATATTACAAAAAATAGTTTCATACAGCCAGCATGGTACAGTGATTTGGGTGTTAGAAGGTGACTAGAGTTCAAATCTCCACTCAACCATTCTTACCCACTAGTGACTTGACCTTGGGCAAATCATACACTCTCAGCCTAAGAGAAAGGCAAAGGCAAACTTCCTCTAAAGAGATAATGTTTGGAAACTACCAGGTTATGTTACCTTAGCGTCACCGAAATGGAAATGACTTAAAGGCACACAATAGTAGCAGCAGCAACAATAACCATATATTAATTATCAAGAATGATAACGGGCCAAGCTGGTTCTGCATAAACACAACTGATCAGGTTGCTTTTACATTAGCCACACACCAATGGGCAGCTCACCTGTATTGTCTCTCATGCATTCTGGTATCGATTGTATTATCAGTTTTGGACAAATTTGAACCAATGCCATGAGATGTACCGTATATCACTTTGTCAGCACAGGAGTTTACTTTTAGTCCAACATGGGTGAGGTGGGGAATGGGATGACATGTATATTTCTCTTTATTTCTATGTATTTTAGCTGTCAATTAATTTTGTTATTGTCTTATTGCTATGTATGCATGTTGTACCATTGAGTGCTTTTGTGAGCTGCACCAAGTCCCTTCAGGGAGATGATGATGGGATACAAATAAAGTTATTATTGTTATTGTTATTGTTATTATTATTATTATTATTATTATTATTGACACAAAAGCACAGTATGTCACGGCAAACAAGATCTATATGCTGGATTTCATATCACAAAATCACAAGTCGAACACTTCCCAAGCAAGGTGGCCTTTTGCAGTTGACAGATCATGATTTTGTCAATGTTTATTGTTTCCAAATGCTGGCTGGGATCTTTTGGCACGGCACCGATGACCACTGGGACCACCTGTACTGGTTTATGCCAGAACCTTTGCAGTTCGATTTTGAGGTCCTGATAGCGGCTGAGTTTTTCCTGTTGTTTTTCCTCAATGCGACTGTCACCTGGTATGGCGACATCAATAATCCAGACTTTTTTCTTTTCCACAATCGTGATGTCTGGTGTATTGTGTTCCAAAACTTTGTCAGTCTGGATTAGAAAGTCCCACAGTATTTTTGCATGTTCATTTTCCATGACCTTTGCGGGTTTATGATCTCACCAATTCTTTACTGCTGGCAGGTGATACTTGTGACATAAGTTCCAGTGAATCATCTGGGCCACAGATTATTATTATTATTATTATTATTATTATTATTATTATTATTATTATTTAATGAAATTTTACATAGGGAAATGTGACAGATGAGTTATATCCATGTGATGAATGGGTTATACCCATTATGTGGGTGTTGACCAGTTGCCTTATTGGGATTGAAGAATTTATTTATTTATTTACGGTATTTTTATCCCGTCTTTCTCAGCCCAAAGGCGACTCAAGGCTTACAAATTGGCAGCAATTTGATGCCACAACAGTCAGAAAATACAATTAAAAACATTTAGCACAACAGTATAAAACCCATACAAAAAACCATTAAATACCTTGTCTTAGAATTATCTTAG